CATAATCAACAAATTCAACGAAAACATTTATTACTTGTTGCTAAATTATCTTAATTAAATGTCATGAGAATGATATATACACCAATAATAGCAACAATAAAATAAAATAATAATAATCATAAGTGTGCCTAACTTTAATAAGTTTTTGCATGATCACAGTGAAATTCTTCTTGCTACTATTTTTTTTTTTTTTGGTTTTTGTTTTTTGTTTTTTTCTTGTCTAGTCTTATAATTTCACACATTGATGTATGATGTTTTTGATCTCTGATAATTTATATATTTTGTCATTTCTTTTTGGAAAAAAAAAATAATAAAACATAAAACAAAACCACAATTCAGAAAACAAAACCCAACAAAGATAAATCAAGTTTACCTTTTTTTTTTTTTGCTTCTCATTTTTTTTAATGATTGCTCAACAAATATAATTGTACATTATTTTATTTGTCATACAATCTCTTTCTCTTACACTCCAATTTCTGTTTTTCGTGTTTTTTCTTTTGTGTGACCTGGTTTGTTTGTTTGTTTGTTTGTTTGTTTTTCTATGAAACAATATTTCTAATGTATATAAAACTCATTTCAGACAAAAAAAAAACAAATCATTTGTCTTTGATTTTTATTTTCAACTTCTTTCTTTTTTTTTTTGCTTTAGATGATTAGTCGTTATATATTTGTTTGTTTGTATTTTATTTCTTTTTTTTTTATCAATCGTGTATATGATTTATATCAATATTATTTTCATTTATCAACACATAATTTATTTTCTCAACAAATTGTATCTATTAATCAATTAAATATTAAACAATTACAACATATTCTTAATCTACGGGGTTTAGCATATGTAAATATTAATGAAAAATATGATTTAATTAAAATGGTTGAACAGACAGGTGAATAATATTATCAGGGAGATGAAGAAGAGAATAATTCATTGATGATTAGAAAAATTTTGAAATAGTTTGAATTTCTTTGTACCTATTAGTGTGATGCTAATGTTTGAAAGTACTTTACTGTCATATAGGTACTAACATTAGCAAGCTGTAGTTATTTATTGACGAAAGATAATGTTTGAGTCAATATTGCTTTTTTCCAGCTGATGAAAGAATCGTGTCATATGTTATCTTTGTTTTTTCATTTGTAATCAGTGCGTGCCGAGGCAAACGATTGTTTTTTTTTCTGTATGTTATACTATGGATATCGATATAGTTGACACGTTCTTCAAACTTATTATGATCTTTAGATGATATTCGTTTTTCTTTTGGTAATTATGAATGCCTAGAAACATTGATAAGCTAGTAGTATATCATTTTAATGGAAAAACTGGCAATGCCAAACATTTAATAATCAAATTTATGTAAATAATGAATTTGATTATAAAGACAGACTTAATTTATCTTCATCATTTTTATTTTCAAAAAAAACGACTGTTTATATAACATACAATTTAAAGTTGTTTGCAATGTTATGAACACTATCTTCTTTTATCATGTTACATCATATCAATTCAAATCTTCGTTGTTGAGTAAAACAAAACAAAAAAAAAGAAGAATGTTCATAGGATATAAACAGTCTATAGAAGTATTCTCTATCAAATACATAACATTTTTCAAGTCAAATAAATCGCGCAAAGTTGTTGTCAATTTGAATGTTTGATCGTTTACAATGTATATGAACTTCTCGGCCGTTTGTCTTTATAACAAAAAAAAAAACAAAATATCGAGAAATAAATTTTATTATTAAATATTTTCGATTTATTTATAGGTTCTGTTCGAAAAATTGAATTATTTGAACCTATTGAAGATTATACAAAACGTCAAACAATAGTATTTTCATCATATAAACAATTACTTGATTTTGTTGATGATTGTAAAGATACAATCTGGTAAAAAATTAATTATTGATTGTCTTGAATATTTATTTGTTTTTTTCTATTGAAAATTAGGTTTATTCATCTTTTACCTAATGAAAAACTTCGTCAATCATTAATTTATCTTTCTACTGATAAATGGCAAATAATTGAACGTCGTTTATCATTATTTAATATTCAAACAGGAATAGTTAATTGTTCAAATAATGAATATTCTAATTTATGTCGAACATTATATACTGAACGATTTATTTTACTTATTCCAACAATAAATCGACGTTCAATTAATATTTATTCATATAATATTGATTCAATAGTACATTATAATTATCAATATATATTAAAATGGTTAAGTAAAACATTAGAAAATCATATAAATAAAAATTTTAATTGGTATGAATTACCAATAAAAAATCGATCAATATTAGAATTTCAAATAAATAAAAATTCATATTCATCAATAATACCAATTTATTATTTTACATTATTATATCATTATGGTTCTATTATTAATTTTCATATAAATTTTCAAGAAAATAAAACTTTTCAAATAAAATATTTATTTCAAAATTCAACAATAAATACATATATTTATAATAATAATAAAAATAATTCATATAATAATTATTATGAATTATATTCATATCGTTCATTAAATATATTTCTATCATATTTAACAATAAATATTCAAACATTAATGTATATTTATTTTATTATATTAAATATTTATTTTCTTTATGATATTTATTTAGTACAATCATTTTTTTTATTATTTAAAAAAATTTTAATAATTAATATTATATCTGGATTTTTATGGTTATTATGTTTAAATTATATATCAACAAATACAATTGATTATATATTACAAATAATATCATTTTATTTAATAAAATTTTCACAATATTCAAAAATTTTAATGTTTATTAGAAATGATTTATTTATTTATTCAATTGTATCAAAATGGATTTTATATTCAAATATGATTATATTACATATTGGATTAGGTCTATGTTTTAGATGGTATTTAAAAGAAAGATTTGGATCAATAACATATGATGTAAGTTTAATAATTAAATGAATACACATCTGATTTTATATTTTGAAAATATCAATCGTATTTCGAAATATTTTTTATTTTATATTATTTCAATGTATAAAACTTAAAAATTGGTACATAAGAAACATAATGAATTATATAGAAAAATTCATATATACTGTTTATCTTTTAATAAATGTTCTATATTCACAACATTAGTTAATTAATCATTGATTACTATGAAAGAATATATATATATAGACAGATACTGATAAATATCGAAAATGTTATTCATTGAATAAGTTTCAAATTCAAAATCGATTATGAGATTTTGTCTAATAGAAGATAATTGCAGTTCAATAGTGTTAATATTCAAAAGTTAATCTTAAGAATAGAATTACAAAAATTTTTTATTAAAATAGCATGAAATGATCCGAAGTTGCCAGCATTGGAGACAAGTCGATGACTCATGAGGCTTTTTGCTAAAGTTAACTGAATTTCAGGGTGAGGTTCGAACATTTGTTTTGGGAATCGAAGTGCAAAAAAAAACGCTGAAAGTTCACTGCAGAAAAACGAAAATTTTTTCAAGATTAGGGAGTTACTTTCTCCAGACTCTTTTACATGAATCCATAACTCAAATAAAAAAAATGAAAGAATTATTCTTATACATTTTTAATGAATTTCTCATTAGACTAATCTCTTGTTGCAAATTTCAGTATTGTTTTTCTTCTTGGTCAAAAGTAAATTCCTATTGAATAAACTCTTTATATGACCGAATGTGCGTGTCCTTATCTAGACTATTTATTGGCATATCCAGATTTTACTTCTCATTTTATATGGACTTTAGCCTTTGCTAGCATATGTCAAGCAGTAAAGAAAGAGGCGAAGTTCATCATTCACTGTTGCTACAACTTTATATGATAGATTTCGAAGATTTTTGGTTCATTTTTTAAAGAATATATTATTAACGATGCTTTTTTTTTTCTTTCTATATATCGAACATATCTTATTGCATAATTTTACTGTTGAATTAAAAAGAATTATGTTTCATTTTAGATACCAAATGGTATTATAATGATCGATCAAACACATGCATTATGTTCAAAAGTTTGGCAATTTGTTTTATGTATTTTATTTTCAGATCAAGAATCAAATGAACATACTGATAATACTTTAATACATTATTTTTCTCAGGATAGTCTTTGGTTAAATCAATATTCATTATTAACAATAAATTCAAATGTAAATATATTAAATAATCGAATAATTGCTTTTAAAAATCTTCCTATATGGCGTTTTACAATTCGACGACGAAAAACAATACATGGTACAAGTGAATATTATTCTGATATTGAATTAGAACAATCTAATAATATAAATGAATATGATTCAACATTAAAAAAATCTTTTATACATCGACGTATAACAAATATTGTTTCAATATCTCAACAAGATTATTTTTATACAAGTGAAACTGATGAAAATAATAATTCATTAAATTCATCTCAAAATGAAATGAATATAAGTGAAATTTATCAATGTTCAATATGTCTTGAAAAATATTTTAATAATGTTTACATATGTACATTACCATGTCTTCATCATTTTCATCGTAGATGTTTATTTAATTGGTTATGTAATAGTGAATATAATACATGTCCACTTTGTCGTTCACCGGTGATGGTTGAATAAATATTGAACTCCTTTTTTTTTTTCTTTTGGATACTTGTAAAAACTACAGACATTACCAAAATTTGTAATTAGAAAACATAGAGTTTGAAATGAATATCATACAAACATCTATGGTGTTACTTTGATTTTTAATTATACAAGGTAATTATTATTATCTTTTACAATTTAAATCAAAGTAACTATGAGTGTCCGCAGTTTGTTTTTGTGCGTACTCTAAAATTTATCTTTGACTACATTGATATTTAATTGTAAAAAAATCTTGTATAAGTAAATATGAATGTTCGCAGTTTTTACAAGTATCATTCTTTTCTTTTATTTCTGTGATAAATATTTTGTATAATTTTTCTTTTGGGACATTAATAATCTTGATATTCAATTTTTTTTAGATGTGTTTGTGAATAATAAAATATGTGGGCTCATATTAAAAATCTTAAATATTATATTGGAATAATTATTGAAGTCATTCATACTATTATACAAGCTATTAGTCATTATATTTTTTCAACAACAGAAAAAAATATTCGAAATGAAATTGTACTTATAACAGGATCTGGAAATGGTCTAGGTAAAAATAAATATTATTTAAATTCTTTGGTCTTTTTTTTTTTTTTTTTTTTTGTGTTTTTAATTGATCAATTATTTTATTATTTAGGTCAACAAATGGCACTTTTATTTGCTAAACGAGGTGCTATTGTTGTTTTATGTGATATTGATGAAAATGGAAATGCACAAACAGCTGAATTAATAGCAAAAGAATTAGCATTAACACCTAATAATGAAAATCGTGTATTTACATATAAATGTGATATTGGAAATCGAGATGAAGTACATCAACTTTTAGAAAATATTGAGAGAGATGTTGGTGATATAACAATGTTAATTAATAATGGTTTGTGCGTTTATTAATAATTGAAATATTTGTATGAATATACTTATTTGTTTTTATTTTAAAGCGGCTGTTTTATCATCCAAATCTATTTTGGAGATGACTGAAGAAGAATATTCACGATGCTTAAATGTTAATCTATTTGCAGCATATTGGGTATATAGCTGTCTTTAGTTTAGATAGATAGAATATTTTGTAATCATAAGAAGTTTTTCTTTTGCATAAAGATAAACAATAATTTCTTATATTTGATATAATTATAGAACTATATTAGACAAATATCTATTTTCCTTTGACATGGCTTAGGGTTTTTTTTTGTTCTACCTATCTGAATGATAATTATTGAATAATGAAAAATACTTAAGATGTATATATATATATTTTTTTTAGTTAATTCGTCAAATTCTTCCATCAATGATGACACATAATCACGGACATATAGTAACAATACTTGGTACAACAGCTGTATTTGGTCTGGGAAATTTTTCAGATATATGTACAGCTAAATTTGGTCTTGTTGGTCTTATGGAAAGTGTTGATCATGAATTAACATTAGGTAAATAGAAATTTCTTTGTTTTTTTGTTTTATTAAAATAATATCTTATATAGGAGGATATGATGGTATATATACTACTTCGGCAGTAACTCATTATCTTTCGACAAATTTATATCAACTAGCTAAAACACGTTTTAATCCATTGGTTCCACCACTTACACTTGATTATGCAGCAAAGAAAATTATGCATGCAATATTGGTTTGTATTTTCATACTTCAATTGTTTATATCTAAAATGTATTCTATTTAGATAAATCGAAAATGGGTTTGTGTACCACGTTTCTATTATTTAATACCATTAATAAAAGGTATATTACCATCTCGTGCATTTCTTATTCTTCTTAATGCATTTATTAATCCAAAAATACCGATTTATATTCGAAAAGAATCAATTGATAAATTAAACAGAGTTGATTCTTTATCTCCAACATTTCATGGTAATCAATCAAATGGTCTTTATCATCATGCTCATCGAAAACGTAGTTATCTTAGTACATGTGATTAAATAATATTATTTTATTTGACTGACCATTTGATGCGTCTGTTTTATCTATAGTCTTTCTTTTTGTGTGCAATGCTATTATTGTTTTCTGTGATTGGCAGTAAATGCTATTAAAAACTGCCACTAAAATAACAGGGAAAAAAAAATAACAAATCGTAGTCGATTATCTTTGCGTGAAAATTTCTATTGTAACATTTTTTAAATGATTGATTCATGTTCGTAATGAATTATATATTATATTATCATAGATGATAAACATTAATTAAAGTTAATTGTCTAATAGAATTAATGTATTCATGCTTATGGAAACAATTGCGAGACTAAACATGGACTATGCATTGCGATGAAATGCTTTATCTAGATCAATGTTGTTGAGCTGGCTTTTCGCCTTCCAAGCGCCTTTGGACTACAAGAGTAACCTCCCTCGATAGATTAAGATTTGGAATTTTAGCCTGTTCTGCTCTGTCCATAGGAAATTTTCATGATCCACCAGGCTAAAGTTGCTGATCTATGTGTCATGTAGTATGAATTTTCTTCGTAATGAAGGTAAACCATAAGACGACGCCACAAGCTGATGGTTTTGACTACCAGCTTTCATCATTTATAATTGATGGAATATCTCTGAGAATAAAAGACCGAATGAATGAAAAAAGATCAGGAGAAAATACCTAGTATTAATTTATTTCAGCGAAAATACAAAAAATAACAATGTTATTATTCAATTAGAAGTCAAAACTGTCTTCTTTTTTTCACATTTTCTTATGAAAAATATTTATAATGATTTTTCTTCTTGTTTAAATTCGCTAATTTTGTGAAAGAATTTATTTTTGTATAATTTCTGTGAAAATAAATTGATTAAGTATATGAAAATAAAATGCTACTATACTATCAAGATATAGAGTTTAATAGATTTGAAAAATTAGAAATATCAGTCGGTCTCGTTTAACTGGCAGACAGTCCAAGTCAGAACGAAAAAGGTAGTCATTTAGTAATCTTGATAAGCAATAGATGAATAAAAATTATCACGAACTATTTGAGTATTTATTTATTTACTTTTCAATATATTGTGACACTTGAATGAACTAGATACTTTGGAAAAAGTAAACACCTAATAAGATAATACCTAATTGGATAAGCATCATGATTAATACTTGATATTCTCTAGATTTTATACCAATTCTGTCACTTTATGGATTAACACGCATTGAATTCAAATAGTTTTACATTTGAACCATTCCACGTAAGTCACGACCTACAGTATAGAAATGCTGCTCAAACGAGGTCTTTAGATTTTGCTCAATTGGGTATATTTTTATTGAGGGAAGCGTTTTATGAACTTTGACGCAAGCCGTTTTGAAAAATATTGAACCGTTGATTTTTTATGACAGTTTTACGAAAAGCACTTAAAATCAGCACTTTGACCAAGGGAGGTCCTGACAGGTCCATATCTCAAGGACGGCATGGCCAAATGAGCTGAAATTTTTTGTGGACATATATCTTTATGAGTTATAGCCATCATATAAATTTCAAGCCAAAATATTGCGTCCTTCATTTTCTATGACTCATTCAATATCAGCAAAAATTCATATTTTGAGCAACTTTGGTGCTTCATAACTCTTGATGGGAATAAGATATAGGTCTGAAATTTTCACTCGAGCTAGAGTATATAGTGATGTGTATTTTCCGAGAATTTCAGCTTTAAATGCCTTTTCTTTCGATCAGTAGAACCCTCTCAAAAATGGATTTTTCATGAAAAATCGTGATTTTCAGACGAGGTTTTCTCTCAAGAAACCAGATTGTATGGGGGCTGGGTTTAAAAAGTTGGCAGAGTCATCTGAGGTGTACAACTTCATGGCAAAATCAGCCTGGGACGTCCAGAAACGGCTTACAACAAAGGTCATCTTTAGGGGCTCGAAATCAATATTTGGGTCCATCTATGTATACAAATCTCATGAATGGATGATGGTGGATAGCTGAAATTCTGGCTATGAGCAGATCTCATGGAATACCTACTCTGATAAAAAATTCAGCTCGCTGAATAATTCCTATCACTCAGAGTGTCTTCCACAAAATCATGATTTTCACCAAAATGACGATTTTGACGGGGTTGGGTTTTCCTAGAAATGGGCCCTATAGAAGTCTGGCCTGTACCACTTTAAAGCACACATATAGTACTTCAAAGTTATGCAAGAATTGATTCGGGTTCTAGTAGAATGATTGAAGGAGCCCTATTAAAAGATACCAAAAATTACCCTTTCCCATAGAGAATATACCTCAGTTGGTTCAGAAATTAATAGAAGAGAGTCATCATCTAAAATGAATTATATCCCATACAAATCAGGACACAACCTTCTATTGACTTCCATAAAAAAGTCTTGTGAAAATGAAAAAAATTTTTTCCAGAAATTCCTCTGCCCCTTCAGGGATATTGGAGAAAAGGCTTTTCGAAATCTACATATCCCTCTATCGGGTCTTTTTCATAAAAATCTTTTTTTCATTTTCAAAAGACTTTTATGGAAGTTAAGAGAGAATCGTGTGCTGATTAAGAGTGTATAGAATTTATTTCAGATGATGACTCTTTTCTATTAATTTTGGAACGAACTCGGGTATATTCTCTATGCAAAGGGGCCATTTTTGTGTATCTTTCAATAAGGCTCTGTAGACCATCCTACAAGGTCCCAAGTCAATTCTTGCATAACTTTGTAGTACTGTGTGCGTACCTTACAACGACACGAGCCTGACTCTAAGACACACTTCTAGAAAAATCCAGCCCCACCAAAATCGTGATTTTGATGAAAATCATGGTTTTGTGGAAGACACTCTGAGTGATAGGAATTATTCAGCGAACTGAATTTTTTACTAGAATATGTATTCAATGTGATCTACTCATAGCCAGAATTTCAGCTATCCGCCATCATCCATTCATGAGATTTGTATACATAGATGGGCCCAAATATTGATTTCGAGCCCCTAAAGATGACCTTTGTTGTAAGCCGTTTCTGGACGTCCCAGGCTGATTTTGCCATGAAGTTGTACACCTCAGATGACTCCTCCACCTTCTTAAGCTCAGCCCTCATACAATCTGGTTTCATGACAGAAAACCTCGTCTGAAAATCACGATTTTTCATGAAAAATCCATTCTTGAGAGGGTTCTACTGATCGAAAGAAAAGGAATGTAAAGCTGAAATTCTCGGAAAATACACATCACTATATACTCTAGCTCGAGTGAAAATTTCAGACCTATATCTTATTCCTATCAAGAGTTATGAAGTACCAAAGGTGCCCAAAATATGAATTTTTGCTCATATTGAATGAGTCATAGAAAATAAAGAACGCAATATTTCGACTTGAAATTTATATGATGGCTATAACTCATAAAGATAAATGTCCACAAAAAATTTCAGCTGAAATATTTTTCAAAACGGCTTGCGTCAACGTTCATAAAACTCTTCCCTCAATAAAACTATCCTAAATTGAGCAAAATCTAAAGACCTCGTTTGAGCAGTATTTCTATACTGTAGATCGTGGCTTACGTGGAACGATTCCTATACAATTTTTGTTCAGAATTAGATTCTCTATCGAATGGTATGTAAATCATCTGTCGAAGCATGTATATACGCCGTCTAAAATGAATGATTCTTTGACTCATAAAAGATTCAATAGGGTCTATATGGCTGAGTACCAAAGTAAGGGTAAAGCTTGACCAATCAAGCTGAAACTCATAGTGTTTTCTATAGAGACCGATCTCAAGACAAAATGTCCTCCGTCCGTTATTCGAGAAAAAAGAAGAACAACAGGAATTCAATATACAATTAATATCTATCGAAAACGAGCAAAATGTTGGAACAATTTTTTAAATTTAGGATCGTCAAATTCAAACAAAGTACTATAAAGATCATTTTTAATTCATATAGTTTCCAGTCAAATATCTTGTTTTTTGAAGTTTTACGATAAATCAATTATATAGTAATTTACTAATCTTCAACAAGCAAAAATAGACACTTGGTCAACAGAAAACATAGATAAATCACGAAGGCTAACTCTTGGTGTCTTTTTCATCGATGGAACAGTTCAATAATGATTAAGAAAAATACTAATTACATTATATGATTGTCAACGAAAATGTCTTGGAAAGAGCCTTGACTGACAATCAAGCAAAACAAGAATATCGATGAATGTGTAAGTTTTGATAAATAAACCTTATGATATCAAAGTAACACTATTACGAAAATTTCTTCTATTTGATAATAGATTAAAAATAAATTGAGAATGAATTCAAAATACATAAGTTTGGAAAAAAAGAATGAAACTGCGAAATAATAGCATATGATGAATTTTATAAGAGCCGAATCACGAGAAGTCTTTGTTGTTTTGTTTAATAGAATATGATATATAAACATTGAACAATATAGAACATTTATTCTTCAATAATTCATTGCTTGCTTTTCTATACCTTCATTTTACACGACAGTTAAGAAAAAACAATGAAATAGATATAATTTGTATGATTGCGTCGGTTTTCTTATCAAATTATATTTTATTACATGTGCAATGTAATTAGAAACGATATATTGGAAATAAAAAACAAAAAAAGAGTTCTACTTGTAATAATAAAAAGAAAAAACAAGAGATCGATTTGAAATCAATAATTCTGCATGAATGTAGGTGACGAGCTTAAATTTCTTTTATGATGAATATGTTGCATGTTATCAAAAACTTAGAAAAGAAATTGGAGACATCTCATCAAAATAACAGATAACGTATTCACTAGTTTAGTATGACATTTTATGTTTGATTTTTATCGTGTACATACTATTTAAAAGTCCATTATATTATTTATTCGTTACAAATCTTTGGTTTCTCATCTTGAGAATTTATATCAAACTTTTGAAAAACAAAAGATTTTCGTCAGTACTAACAATGCCATTAAAGCCTACTTTAGCTTCTGAAAATACTGCTGGAGGAACACCAATCAAGAGTGGAATGTAACTAGTTTTATTTCAATATGTTATAAATAGAATAATTCTTTTTCATAGATTACGTCGAATAAATCCAATCATTTTCTTAACCATTTGTTGTACAATATTGATTCTAATAATTTTTACAGCATTGTTTCTTTTGACATTTCTACCAATATTTACATCAGCTACAGGAAATCAAACAAAATATCAAGGTATATTTTATTAAAAAGAAATCATTTTTTAACTTTTTATTTTTTTAATTATTTTATAAAGTTCAAAGTGATGTTCTCACTCTGGTTTATAATCTACCAGAACGATTATCTATATTACCAATGAATTGGACATATGTAACAGATAATTTAGAATCAGATAAGATATCGATTCTTCAAAATCTGGTCTTCATACTTCTATTTAATAAATAAACATATAAATATTTTCTTTTTTTTTTTTTCGTTTTTTTTAGCTTCAAACTGAACTTAATAATAAGAAAGTAACAAAAAAAACGAGTGTCGTTATAACGGAAGCTTATATTACCGCTGAAAATTCATTACCAAGCAGTTTATCAGTAAAAAATAATATTGAAAAGTATTTCATATGTTTCCAAGTTTTTTTTCTTAAATAGGCAAATTCATCTACTCCTCTTGACAGTAATAATAATACAGTTATCATTATAACTCGACCAGATAGTAATAGAAAAAGTAATTCGACACCACCACAATTAAAAATTTCATTGATGCTTCGTTATGCACTGGAATGTGCTAAACGATGTCAAACGAATATGAAAGAATCAATTTTGTCAAAAATATTCTATGATTTAGAATTACCAATTGATATTTGTAAGTGATGAAAAAACTTCGATATTATATTAATTTATTATTTTCTTAATAGTTCGAATATTATTTATAAACAAAATGAATACTTTGATAAGTAAATCTCTTTCAATTAACAAAAAATAAAAATAAATACAATATCTATTCTACATCTACTTTGATTTCATCATAGATTCTTCATGGTCAAGTACTGGATCAACAATAGTTATGCCTTGTATTGTTAACAATCCTTCGTCGACATCAGTATCATCAATAATTATGGCTATCAGTTATGAAGCTGAATCATCATTAAATACATTTATTTCGACAACAATTCAATCATGTTCAATTTGTTCAGGTGAACAAAATGTTGGTAATATTGGTTTTAATAATGAACTTATCTTTCAACAAATTATTAGTCAACATGGTGGTTCAACAATAGTTATTATTTATTATACAACTGATCGTATACGATCAGCTGAAATAATCGTCAATAATTTATATCCTTCAATTCATGTTATATTTCCAATGATGTTATCAAATCAAAATATTGCTTCATTACCTATTACACTTAATCTATGTCAAGGATTCAATTCAATTCGTATTTATAATCCAAATGACTATACACCGATTTTCGATCGAATTGTTGTTTATTGAGTGAAAAATTCGATTTAATAGACTCGAAGAAATTCTCAATATTATTTGTATTATAATAAAAACAAAAAAAAACAATATTTTTCTGTAGACCTATGTTAACCCTTTACCCTTTTTGTTGGACCATTTGTGTCCCATTCATAGACATTATCTATTTGGAATAATAAAGCATCGAATCATGACGGTTCCCAAATATTGTGCAGAGTCTTCAATAAACTATAAATTCGTAAAAAAAATTAAACTTCTTTTCATAATCCTTTGGTTACAATTTATTAGTTGAAAACGATATTTTCTCGAAAAAATGAGAAACTTTGTTTTTTTAAACACTTGATTATAGATTTTTAAATAACTTTTTATTGATAAAAGTTAGAAATCTGTAACTTCTATTATAATCTTCTTTCACAGTGAGACCTTAACAATAGGAATAGATGATTTCGAATCGAAATAAGAACTAGTGATTCCATATTATAAAAATAACATGAAGAGTAGTCATCTCACCAACATGAATAATTTTTTAAAAAATAATTCACAGTAAGTAGATTTCTAGCTTTATATAGATAAAATAACAGCATAGCTGTAAAAAAAAACATTAAAATTAAAAATAAATTCAATTTTATGTCATTCAAGACAAAAAGATCACGTTAACTCATTCTGCATCTTCATAATGGAATGACTTCGTTCTAATTTAAAACTATAGCAGTGTCATAATTAGTATTTGTTTAAACAGTTCTCGTGGTTGACTTAACACCAACTCTACTGGATGAGTGTCAAGTGGTAAAAGATGAAATCAAAACACTAGAACACATAGAATAAACTTGTAATACAATCAATATATGCATGAGACTTCTATTAAAATATAATTTAAATCTTAAGATTAAGAAAGATTATTTGATTTCAGCGATAGTCATAATGTAAATTGATTGAACTGATGTTCAAATAACTTTGAAATCCGAGATTTTTATCTCGTTTAAGACAACAAGTTCTTTCAAAAAACAATCAAGCATGTGCTAATTCTAAATGGACGATAGTACTGTTTCTCTTTATTTTAAATAACCTAAATCGAAATCGGTCAAAAATTCAACTCATTATATATAATCGAATGAATTTTTCTTTCAAAAAATCTGCTGAAGATTAAATTGCAATGTATTTTCTATTTATTCTCATCACAAAAGCAGAACTATTCACGTTAATCAGCGACATCTTTCATCATTCTTGGACGTAATACACGAAAGCAAATAGTGGGCTGTGTATTTTATATGGATTACTATTTGTTATTTTTTTCTTGATGTAATTTAGTTTTATCAGCTTGTAGAATAGTTAAAAGTTTAGAAATTTAAATACGACATGATAGACTACGGCGATTTAGAAGAAGATACCCTGTATGTTTGTAATAAAAATCCATATTTTTCATTTATTTAACTCATAATTTATTCTAGTGGTATGACATTAACATCAGGAACGTGTACTCTGAAAAAAGACACTCAAAATTTAGTTGGAATTAGTATTGGTGGTGGATCTCCACTTTGTCCTTGTTTATATATAGTTCAAATATTTGATAATACAGCTGCATCAAAAGATGGTTCTTTAGCTGCAGGTAAAAATAAAAGTCAATTTGTCTATTAAAAAATTCTTAATTATCTGTTAGAATAGGTGATGAAATTGTTTCAGTTAATGGAAAATCAGTAAAAGGACGAACAAAAGTTGAAGTAGCTAAACTAATACAAGCATCTAAAGTAATAAATATTTTAGTTTGATTTTCAATTAAATTTTATTCGATTTTCATAGTCGGAAGTAACAGTACATTATAATAAATTACATGCACAATCAAAAGAAGGCAAAACATTAGATATTGGTTTGATTAAAAATAATTTATAATTTAAAATATTGATCAAAATTTTTTTTTCATCTATTTAGTTCTTAAAAAAATGAAACATCGTATTGTTGAAACAATGAGTTCAACAACAGCTGATGCACTTGGTCTTAGTCGTGCTATTCTATGCAATGGTAATACAAATCAAAAAATTAAATCTAATTCATTTTATTTGTTTGTTTTTTTGTTTAGATGGTCTTATTAAAAAATTAGATGAACTTGAACGTACATCAGAATTATATCGTGGTCTAATTGAACATACACGTTCTGTACTTAAAGCTATATTTGAATTAGCTCATACACATCGTAATTTTGGTGATGCATTTGCTAATATTGGTGCACGTGAACCTCAATTTAAAGCATCAGAAGCTTTTACAAAATTTGGTGAAGCTCATCGACAAATTGATCGACATGCTATTACATTACTTCGAACTGTTAAACCAGTATGTATTTAAAAAAACAAACAAACAAACTATATTTTTTTTTATCATGTATTCTATTTTAGATGATTGCCGATTTAAATACATATTTAACAAAAGCTATTCCTGATACAAAATTAACTATTGAAAAATATGCTGATGCTAAATTTGAATATTTGGTAGGATTTTATATAGATCGATCGAAAAAAAAAATTCTTACTGACATTCTATCCTCTGTTGTTGTTTTTTTGTTAATTACCTCCACTAATAATACAATGTTATAATTTGAGAAAAAGTTCAAGTAGTTTCCTCGTGAGAAAAAAAAAATATTGAAGAATTTTATTATGTATTTAGTCTTATTGTTTGAAAGTAAAAGAAATGGATGATGAAGAATGTAGTTATGCAGCACTTCAAGAACCACTTTATCGTGTTGAAACAGGCAATTATGAATATCGGTACTTATTTAATTTATTGTTTTCTTATTAAATATAAAGACTTTATTTCTTTGTCTAGATTAATTCTTCGATGTCGTCAATTAGCTCGTGAACGTTTTGCTAAAATGCGTGCAGATGTACTTGTTAAATTAGAATTACTTGATCAAAAACATGGTTTGTTCTCTGTTAAAGATATTTTTTTTTCCTATATTTCTTGTTTCTAATAGTACAAGATATAGTTTTTCAATTACATCGTTTTATTACTGCTTTGGATAAATATCATAAAGATTGTAATGATGTAATGAAAGAAGCTGATATATTTCCTATTGAAGTTGATCTTACATTACCAACACTTCGTGGATTAGGAAGTAATGATGCTGATGATATGGATAATGAAAATGATGAAGAAAATGGTAATGATCTATTCAATGATGATCAACAAGAGAGTGTTTCTAATCAACAAAAAACAGTAGAAGATGTTGATCTATTAAATATTGGTCAATAATGAATATTACAGTGCAATCTCAAGACTTTTTTTTTTGTTTACATGTTTATTATTATTATATTTCATTAAGAAAAAAAGGTCGGTATTATTTTTATCCTGTTTTAATATATTATTCTTTCTAATCGACTGTTTAGTCTTTTTTGTTGTTGTTGTTGTTGTTGTTATTGTTTTTGTGTTGTTTAATATAAATTATATGATATAAAATTGGGACGAATATTTCGTGAATATGAATAAAACATGTGTATAAATAATTTCTAATATAATAATAGTAGTATTTAAATAATTTCTACTTAGTCTTTTATTAAAATATTTACAAGTTTCAAAGTCTGATAAATATTAAAATATGCTTTTTTTTAAAAAGTATATTGTTATACTTATAAATAATAATTATGAAAGATAGAATAAAAGAATTTTCGCGACATATTTAAGTTACTTGAAGTCATTAAATACCACCTGTAACAATTGTTGATTAATGATTATTCAAACTTGTGAACAATAAGAGATGAAATGAACGACTGTCTAAGAGAAGAATACATCCCTATCAATAGGTAGGTGGTTAGCTTGCTACATTAAAGAAATATAAAGCTTTTTTTTTCTGAATTTTTGAATTTATCAGGTGCTTTCATAACTTTCTTTTTTCTGTGATAGAATTTATTTAATTGTAAAATATCAAAATATATCAGATGATAATGGATGTTCAAGAAAAACTGAAGATCTCGGTATTGTTTCAATCTTTATATTGAAAGATTTCATGTTCATTTGTCAAAAAAGAAATTGCATAAAAGAAGTTCATATTAAACATTATTATGCAAAATTGTGAGCTAAAGAACATGCAAAAGTGAATTTACATATTTTCAACAATGGTATTTCTTTTTTCAAATATTGCACCAAACCATACTGTCTTATTTCTTCAACTCATAATCTTTCTCAACACTCGTTCACTTTACTATCGTTAACACGAATTTGTAGAAAATTGAGCGCTTTATTTTTATCGACATGCCCGATCATAGTCATATCAAGATATTGTTAGATATGTTCCCAAATTTCATCAGTGCTAAACTTATAGAACTCAAGCAAATCCAACAACTGAAGCAATCCTAAGCATTCAAGAATTAATGGAAAATGAGTCGACAAATCAATCCTAGCATTTCGACCGAAACCGACATTATCATGCTTCACTTACTCACGTATATTAAGCAGTTGCAAGACTAACTTACCTGGAGCAATTGTGGAACATAGAAATATCACGACAGATGACGAACGTATGAAAAAATCTTTTCAGTAAAAACTGAAACATCGAGATAGCTCCAAATGTAGAGAGAACCTATACTCATAACCGAACCGTTCCGAGAGTACAATGAATGACGCTGCACTTCTCAGAGCTCTAAGGGTTCAGAACTTATAGAACTCGATCACTTAATAAAACCTATATTTAATGTAGACAATTACGAAGTCTTCAACTACGAAATGCTACCTACTAAGATGTTGAAAAATCGAGCTTTGCATATATTAGATTTCCTTGATGATATATACGCATTTAGAGTCTACTTTTATTAAAAACTCACTTCGTGATAAGATGAAAACTTAGTATTCTGAACCAGCCTATATGAAAAACTTTTTTTTTCATCGCCAGGTATGCATGTCATAGAACATATCGAGTTCTTTAAGGCAACATTAAGTAAATATGGTAAAGTTTCGTTTAGGTAGAATATTTGTTTCTTGTATGGACATCTGTGAGAATCTAAACGTAGTGGTTTCAACTAATAGCGACATCAAGAGGATTGTTAATTATATAAAATGGCAAGTAAGAAAAATTTTGTATTAATTATTCTTAGAAATATCTTTTTTGATTAATTTTTGTAAGATTCTAAATACTGATGTGAAAGTAAGGAGTTTTATTATTGGACAAGAAAAGAAGAAATAACATAGATAGAATGAAAACACAACAGCTGATCGTACATTTGTATAATTCATTAATTTTCTGTTTTAATTTAGAATATCTCACATCGAGAATTTGATAATAACAAGATTTAGTGTATTTAATACATGTCTTAATACTAAATGAAATTTTCATTGAACAGTATTATACTTTTTTGTGCGTTATCATTAAATTATATATGATTTTTTTTTTGGTTTTTATAATAAATACAGTAATGATCACTGCTGGCAAGTTTTATTTTCAAAATATTTCATTCTTTATATCACTGTTAAAATCAGACTTGACAAATTCTTCAATTTTTGATAGGTAAGTCTAAGTTTTCGATGATAAAATTGCAGTGATTACTGATTGGTATTTTTAAAAATATTTTATCTTTGCTTGTTCTATTGTTAAGTAACTTTCATAGTTTGATTTTACTATATCTCACATTTAATAAGCTTGTATTGGAATAAACTCGTAAGTTTCTTTATCGACACTAAAATGAAATTATTTTTTTCTTCGCTAATTTAAGAAGAATATAAAATTATGAAAATAAAGGAATGTTGACAACGTTCATATTATTATATACTTTGAAAAATAAGAAAATTACTGTATTATAATATTCAACCTTTGATTTATCACTTGGAAAACTATTATGTCAAAGTTTTGAATCAAAAATCCCATTTTTTATATAATTTTCTTAAATTCATTTTTCAGATTATTCGATGACATAAAGAGGAATATGTTCTATCAATAGTTGTAAAAGAGCTGCAACATGTTTGTGTCATCATTGTAAAAATAATGTATATTCCAGACATTTTAATGAACATCAAACACAAATCAATAATGAATTATTACCACTCACTGATCGTCTCAATCAACGTACGTGAGTGTTATTTTTATGATTATAGAACTAGATTTTTTTTCGAATTTTAGTTAAGATGAGACTACAGATTAAAGAAATACAAAATGATCCATTATCTATGTTAAAAATGTGGCGCAATAAGAAATATGAAGAAATTGATCGAGAATATAATCGAAAAATAAGACAACAGGAACAAGAAGTTTCATAAACTATAGCAAATATAGAAGAACTTATTAATGAAGGTGAAGCATCTTTCAATCAAGTCAAACAATTGAAGAACAAGATTGAATTTATAGAAAATCAAATGAATAAATTAATGACAAATGAACAGACGCAAATTTTATCTGAGAATACTATTGATAAGTTAAATCTTGTTAATAATTATGTTCAATTTGGTCGCCGAAAATGTTTAGTTAAAGGAAAAATAAATTGTCGAGGCAGCAATCTCTATGCTTTGGAATGTGAGATAGCATTAACAGGCTATGATGGATTGTGTCCACAATGTCGAGATGTTCATGTTTCACTGCAACGCGATCAAGGTTTTTACATATCTTGCGAAACTCTTCATAAAAAGGTCGCACAAGAGCTTGAAAATCAGACATAGAGTATGAAATTGTTTTTTTGAAATTTAATTTTTCCTCCGGTGATAATTGAATGATGTTCCAATAACATTTATTTGAACATTTTTGAATTAGATATATTATCTATAAAGGATAATTTTTATAGAAATATAAAAACTTAATAAATGCTCATATATATTCTAGAACAAATAGAACTTTAATGATTATTTTTCTTTTACTTTATTTTCGATTTGAAACATTATGCAGCTGAAATTCAAACATATAAATATATATATTGACGCGAAAGTGTCAAAACCTTATGTCGAAGAACGGAGAGTTATTATTTAAATTCTAAAATATTGACGTTTATTTATTTGAAAATAGAGTTTTTTGTACAACGCATAATCTGATATAATTAAATTTATAAAAACTCATTATCTATTTCTAGATTTTTGAATAATAACTTACATTTTACAACAACAATGGATTGATCTAACATTTTCTCCATGTATTTATCAAAATGATGATAATCTTCTTGAAGTTTTTTTTTTGTGTATTGTATAATAAAGATATCACTTTATCAATATCGTAAGTGGCAGCTCATTGGTATTTATCATCTTAATTATAAATTTTGTGGAACTCACGTATATTTTCGAAGAAAATAGTGACTGTAAGTTTTAAGTTCGAGGTTTGGCGGCTCCCCACCTCCCCCTTCCCTTACAGGCAGGCTCCAATTACAGACTTTAGCAATGGAGAATAAAAGGTGTCAGATTTTCTAGAGTTTGAAAAATTGCTCAAGTTATAATTTTGAAGATTAGTCAACATCATTGTTTGTGAGTTGATTAACATATATATATAATAGTGCATAAAATCTGCTATAGACATCATGAATATGTAAAATAGACTTATTTGCCGATTCAATGATTATAATAATAAGAATATTAAATTAAAAAAATACGAATAAAAAAAAATAAAAAATAATGAGCGGATAGCAATAATGCAAACAAAAAATAGGGTGCCCGTAGAAAAAAAAAATTCTATTTTAAATGTAAAAATAAATAATAAATTCTTGCTCTTGTTTTCGATTATTAGTTAAAACAACTACAGTCGACGAGAAATTTTTCAGTTTACGGATGATGTATTAGGATAACACGGTTGAAAGATATACGTGAGTTCCATATTTCAGCTTCGAAGGAGCTGCGCTAACAAGCTTTCTGATATGTTTTTAACATATAAACAATCTCTATTTTTACTAACAGTACTTGAAATCGATTCAATTGGTTTAGATAGATGCGACTAATATATTTTGTTATCTTGTTGGATATCTGAATGAATGTATTGAAATCCATTATGATAACAAGTATAAACTATTAATTGATTTATCCAATTTGATTATCATTTAATATTATATTTCATCATGTTCATTTAAACAATAGATTGTTGTTCATCTTAATTTATTATTAATTTTTCAACAATCCACTCTTAATTAATATTCTATTTTTATTTCCATTAAAATATCATTGAATTTTCTTTGAAGAACTTTATCATATTCCAGAATTTTTATCTTTATTCAGATATGAAAAATATTATTTCGTATACACAAATAAAAATCAAATGTAAAATCTAGATTGTTGATTCAATTACTTTAATTAAATTGTACTTTATTTAAATGTTTTACTGCTTTTATGTTTCGAAATGATTATCAACACAATGGATCATTCGTAAGACTGCTACTATATCAAACAGATAAATATATATAGCAAGGATTGTATTTTATATAATTGTCTCGAATCAAAATTGAATCTGCATGATTATTATCTGTAAATTGAAAAATAACGAGAAAATTCTGTTTTTTTGCTGTTGTATATTCTACAAATAAAATTTATTTCTCAAATATCATATATATATAAGTAATATTTTTTTTTGGTTCTTTTTAGATGCATTCATCAACGTTTTTTCGTGATAGTTTAAAAGTATATAATTTATTATGATTTATTTTTCATGTAAGACACGAATGTTTTTCTTTTTAGACTTCACCGTTTGTCTCATTGATGAGCAAACGTACGTTTGATGAATCGTAAGTTATCTCACATAAACAAAAGATTAAAAAAAATAATAATATAAACAATTATTTATTTGATAGAAAATCTCCACCAAGTCCTTTATCACCTGGACAACAAAAACGTGTTCGTTTTCTTGTTGATAATAATAATGATCTATCGAGTATGAGTTTTCTTAGATAAGTTAAAATAAATCATAGTTCATTTTCTATTGTAGTTGATGAACATCAATCATCGATTTTATTTCGACAAGGAAATATTGGAGGACGTACTGGTAATATTAGTGGATTTGATGAAATGGAAAATAGTCGTCGAATAACATCGAATTTACTCTTTAGTAATACTAGTTCTCCGTATGATTTTGGATTAATGACACAAACTGGTGGTAGTATTGATCAACCGATAGACAATGTTAATGTTTCAAATGATAATTTTACTTTTATTCAGACAACTCAACGAACAAAGTAAGAGTTTTAGAAATTTATAAGAAACATTCAACGTGAAAGATTTATTTTTTCTTCAAAGAAATGATCTTATGATTTTTTTTTTTTTGAAAATTTTATTCTGTTTGTAATAAATCGATTGTAGATCTTAAATTTTAATAAAAATTATGCCCATTTTATTTTTATTATTCTTTTTTTTGTTGTTATTGTTGTTAAATATATAGTCTTGCCAATGAAAGTGGAAATGATGGGACTTGGTTGACTGTGTTTGGCTATCGTACGAATGCCGAAGCTCAAATATTGATCGATGAATTTAGTCGTTTTGGAATAATAGAAAAATATGTGGTATGAACAATTTGTTTCTATTTTATTTTATTATTTATCTATTCAGATTGTTGATACATCGAATATATTTCATGTTAAATTTGCAACTCATCTTCAAGCTCAACGTGCTCTACGAAAACATGGTCACGTTTTTGGTCAAATAATGGTTGGTGTGAGATATTGCACTGATAAAGTAAATTATTTGTTTGTTTATTAAATAATATATTATCACATATAGGATATTATTGGACTTAAACCACAAAGTAATGTTAATGTTTATCTTGAAAATCCTTTTCTTATACGACATCGACATCATTTAGGCATATTACCAGTATGAATAAACAAATATTTTCATTTTATAATTCAATTTAATTTGTATCTATTTTTTTTCTTTATAGTCTGCACCATTAACAGTTCAAAATTGATTCCATTTATTATTTGTATATATATCATTGTCAATCATCCATAGAATTTATATCAATTCTCAACTTTATTATTATTATTTTTTTTGGTTATGTTTGCCTATTATTCATTTGCTCAGATAGTACAGTTCTTATTTTCTTATTTGTTTGCTTATCTTTGCTCTTATTTCATTCTTAATTAAAATAGCATGATCAATAAAATAAATCATATATATATACATATCTGAATATCTAACTAACAAGTCTTTTGTTTTTATTTTGATCGAATAAATCAAATTACTGCTCGTTGCTTGAACATGTTGTTCATATGATTTTTTGAATATGATCATCAACATGAATATTGAAATAACTGAATCTAAAAGAATCTTAACGTTAAAAGCTGTTAGATAAAAAATATAGAAACCACTTTTTTCAATTGCACGTATTCGAATATCAATTATATATCGTCACTGTTAGTAGACAACGATATTATCATTACGATTCAGAAACCATATCGAACTAATCATCTGTTCAATGAGCTTAATTTACCGTTTAAGAATAGCCACTGACTTGTTGAGCTTTATCTGTCAAATTGTAATTGGCAAATGTCGAACCTTATCAGAAGAACATCGATATACACCCACTATGAAATGGAAAGTTTCGGACATGGAATGGCGTCATATATGGAGTGTATCTTAATTTTATACAATATGATTTACGATCGAAGAAATCGTTGCTATAATTATCTTACTCATTTAGTTGTCGTCTTCTTTAGCTCTTTTCGTCTTTCATGAGATGAATTCAACTAATAGTGACATTGTCTAATACATAATAGTATTTGAACTGTTATATTAACGTAAGCTAATCACAAACAAGATATTCAATGTTAGACGAAAAAGATAAGCTTATTTTTATACGATATTTAATGTAGTTTACTGATGAGAATACCAATCCTTATTCATTCTATCGAAATGTATGAGAGAACTTTGTTGATTATTCTGACTTAAACAACTGCATCCCTGAAAGTTATTCTATTTGACCAAGTAGATAATGCCCTAACTGAAATTTTCATTGAGTATTAAACTAGTATTCTGTACCTTCAATGTGACAGAAATAGCTATTTTACAAAAGTAAATTTTCTTTGCTTCACATGTTTTAATCATTGAAAATATGTATTTCATCAAGACCAACCAATTAAATATTTCTATTCTCTTCCTTGTCAGTTTCTACGCCACCACATACATTACACAGTTTCTACTTTAAATGCAACATATACTTTTCAAGTTTTACTTCAATTTATTGTTATGATATGTTTTCAAATAACAAAAAAGAAAAAAACTTAATGATTAAATATTAGAAATTATACAGTTTGTGTTTCCCCTAGGTCTTCATCCATTTAAACAAGAGGATAGCTTGCCATTGTTGCAATACCAC